GGAAAGGACATTAGTGGTGGTCAGGGGGGCAAGCGGTGTGGGCACCAGGACCCTTGGTGGTGCCAGTATTTCCCACCCTGCACCCACAGAAAAAGCCAAGTATCCCTGGCTCCTGAAAAGAGCTTCTGGAATCCCCCAGAGCTGGAAGCGGGCCTGGGGGGCCCGGCAGAGTCCGATGTCTGCGGTAACGTATACAGGGTTTCTGTTTAGCGTGATGAGAACATTCTAGAAATAGATAGTGGTGATGGTCGCACAGCATATTGGATTTACTTAATGCCACTGAATTGTACAATTTAAAAGGATTAAAAGTTAAATTTCCACTGTGTGTGCATTTTAAAACATAAAATGTAATCAACTTTAACGTACGGGAAAAAGAGAAAGAACACTTAGAAACAAACACTGTTTTCCCGAGACAGCTCTAGTGCCAGAAGCGGCCCCGGTTGTTGCTCAGGAGCGGATGCCGGGGAGACGCCGGGGTGGGCTCAGCATGGGAGTCAGCGCCACGCTGGCAATGCCTGGCTCTGGCTTGGGGACTGGCGCGGGACCCGGGACCGGGGCTGGTGCTGGAGCTGGCTCTCGTCGTGACACTCTGACCCTGGCCCCGGTAGCAGAATTGGTGCGAGCGCTGACCCCGGCTCTCGGTCTGGCTCCAGAGCCGCAGCTGGCTATAACCCCCGAGCTGGTCCATGTGTGGGAGCCGGAGGGGTCTCTGATCCTGGAGCTCCACGGCTGGTGCCAGAGCGGCTTCTGACTCCAGAGCCGGGCAAGATCTTGTGCTGGACGTGGCTGTGGCTTTGCAGCCCCCCTTACTGGCTGTGGGGTGGATACAGTCCCCCCTGTTCAGCTGTGAGCTCGAGGGCAGGGAGAGTGTCTAGGGTTCACATTTATATTCCAGATGCCTGCACGTTAAAGGGAGCGGCACATAGGTGCTGGATACATGAATGAATGAATGAACGAATGAATGAGTCGGTCAGCTAACCCAAGATGACTTTGCATCTCAGGTTTCCACATCTGGAAAGTAACAGCAGCCTGTGGGAATTGGGAGGATCACACGGATTCAACGCCCGTGTGAGGGCCTACTGTGTACCAGGCACTATTCTAGAGGCTTGGGAAGAAAGCACAGGAAAAGCACCGTCCCTGCTTGCACGGAGCTGGCGGGAGCGGGGCTCCAGCGAGGGCATGTGGGTCACAGACAAGCAGTCCACGCCCTTCCGGGAGCAGCTGCCGGGATTGGCAGGTTGTACACACGTCCTTGTCCAGCAGCTCGAGACGAATCTGGGTGGGGCTGGAGGGCTGGTGGGCTTACTGGTCTGAACGCCCCTGTGAGCGTTCCCTTCAGAGGTCCTCGGTGTGGCCATCTTCAAAATGGGCTTGTGAGGAAATCCCATCCTTAGGTTCCTACACGAAGTTGGTCTTGATCCTGTGAGACCAAGAGCTTCCTATGACTCGTCTTCCCTCTGGTAACCTCAGAGTTCACCAAGGGAGCTGGGTAATGTCTTCCAAGAGACCGGCTAGGGTCCCCTTCTGGCCAGTGTGCAAACGGGGCTCGGATCCCTGGGCTTTAACCACCAGTGGCCACGCTGACCCTGGCATTGAAGCCATGTATCCAGGTGCTCAAAAATCCAGCTCAGAGTGGGAGGGACAATAACGAGGGGTTGGCCCTGTGGGCAGTTAGGACCAGGGAGAGATCTCGGCAAACCAGTAGATAAGAAGCTTCACGCCTCACAGTTTCTTCCTCGCCTGCCCTGCCTGCGTTGTGTTGCATCTGGTGGGTGGTCATCATTTATCTCACGGACCTCGGATGAAGGAAAGTGGCTTGTTTCCAATCTTTTGCTGGTATGCAGAAGGCCGCAGTGCAGGACCATGTGCAGATGTCAAAGTGTGGAGGTGTTTCCGTGGGATAAAGTCCCTGAACTGGGATTGTCGAACCAAAGTGGACTTACATTCGTAATTTTGATACGTGTGGCCAGACTGCCTCCATCCAAAGGCACCGTGCATTCTTGTCAACAATGAATAAAAGTCCCTGTTTGTACACAGCTTCGTTTGGATTTAGTAATTTTGTCATGACCGAGACTGAGTATATATCATGTGTTTGAGGCTCTTTATATTTCTTTTTTGTGAAGTGTGTTTTAATGTATTTTGCCCGTTTTTATATCCTGTGGCTGTTCTTTTTCTTATCAGTTTCTAGGACCTCTATTTATAGGGGGTGTAGGCTCTTTGCCTGGGATATGAGTTAGAAAAATTCGTTCCCAGTTTATCGTTTCTTCCTTTGTAAGTTGTGGTGTCTTTTTCCCGGGACAATGGTAAAGTGTCAGTGCTCCCGGTTTGATTTGTGGATTCGATACAAATACAGTCCCCATAAAATACCTCAGCAGGTATTTCTTTTCGGAAACCCATAGCTAACTTCATAATTTATGCAGAAATACAAAGGGCCCAGAACCAGAACAACCTGGAAGAACATAGTTGGAGGACATATGACACCAGATATTCAGACTTTTTGTTCAGCTACAGCAAGTGAGGCAGTGGGGTAGTGATGCAAACTAGAGTACGACAGAGTGTCAGTTCAGCCCAGAGGCCCCCATACGGATGCTGCGCAGGTCTGAGCACAGCAAACGAAGCCAAACGTAGGAGAGCTCGTCCGCAAAAATGTGCAGTGTGTGTGGATAGAGCGTGGGAGGAAGCTCTGTGCTTGTCCCAGCCGAGGCAGGAATAGCACGTGACAAGGTTCAACCTCTTCCATCATAAAGATCAACGTAATAAAGGCCTCTTATGAAAAGCTCGTGTCTAACGTCGTCCTCCGCGGTCAGGTCAGGAACAAGGCAAGGTCGCCCACTCTCGCTATTTCTGTTCAATCTAGCATCTTAAGTCCTAGGCAAAGCAGTGAGGCAATGAAAGAAAGTAGGAGGCGTCTAAACTAGAAAGGAACAAGTAAAATGATCTGTGTTCATAGATGACATCATCTAAGTAGAAAAATCCACCAGAAAACTGTCAAAACTAAAACAGGATTCAGCCAAGTTGCAGGATACGCAATTAACACTCAAAAATCAGGCATATTTCCATATAAACAATGATCTGAAAAGGAAATTGAAACATAACTCCATTTATAATAGCATCAAAAAGAATAAAGTACTTAGAAATGAACCGAACCACGGAGGTGAAAATCTTTTACAAAATATTACTGAAGTTTTTTTTTTTTTTTTTTTTTTTTTTTTTTTTTTTTTTTTTTTTTTTTACTTTAGAGAGAGTGTGAGCAGGGGAGAGGGGCAGGGAGAATCTTGCCGGTAACTTGTGAATGAGCTCAGAAGGGGACCCTGCCCCAACCCAGCCTCAGCTGAAACCACAGCCCAGGCTCCTGGGAGACCTTGAGGCACAGGCTTCAGCTGGGCTAAGCGGGGGCCCTAATCACAGACTCTGGGATAGTGTTTGCTTTTGGGAGCACTAGTCAGGGTAACGTGTCTCACACATAGACAAGCAGTATATCCTGCCAGGCCCACGTCTGGCCCTGCTCTCCTCCCTCCCCCCCTCCCCCCTCCCCAGCTCTCTCCAGCAGCAGTGGCTTCTTCTCAGCCCCTCTGGCCAAATGCGCTTCTGCCTCTGGGTCTCTGCACTTGTGAGCTTCCCTTCCCCCAGCACACTGTTCCCAGACTTGTACAGGGCCAGCTTCTCTTGTCTTTCTGGTCATAGCATGAATGCCACCTGGAGGCCTTTTAGACCCTGCTTAGGGGCTCCTGGCTGGCCCTCAAGCACCCTGCTTCACTTCCGCAGAGCACTTGATCTCTTGCATGCTTTTGTCCATCCCCCACCTTGGGCCGTGAGCTCCTGGAGGGCAGGGACCATGTGGGTCCTTACAGCACTCACTCTGTGTGAGGCAGGAGCCGAAGGAGCCAGTGAGAGGGCCTGGGAGCTCCCTCCCGCTTCAGAGAAGCCCATAATAAAAGGTCCACGTTGGGTCAGAGGCAAGGGGGTGTCCCTTCCCTGGGCCAGTTGCTTGGTAGAGCAGTGATCACCACCTGGTGGTGGGAACCAGAACTGCAGCCCCAGGCGGGAAACTAGAGATTAACACACCTTTGGGGTCCCCAAGGCAGTGGGGTTCCCAGGCCCCAGGCGACAAAGGGGTTAGGAACTAGGGGTTGCAGAGGGGAATGCGTGGGACCTATGCTGCATTTCCCCCAGTCCCGACCACTGTACCGGGTGCCCAGTTCACCCAGGAACCTACTCAGCCCCTCCAGGGCAGGGACTCCGCCCACTTCCACCTGAGGCTCCGGCAGGGAGGGAGCACAGAGGCAGGCGCAGTCCAGTGCCCCGCCACATTCTGCATTACCCAGGTCTTCAGTCCCTAGGGGCCACGGGGAGTAGACATTTACTGGACTCAGCCTAGTGTGTCGTCGATGGAGAACCGAGGCCGGCAACTCCTAGAAGCCTGTGGGACCGTTGGGATTCCTGCCGCAAGCACATCAGGCTGCAGAGGAGGAAGGTCTTCCCTCTCTATTATGGAGCCCCCTCCCCGTGAGGGTGGGTGTTATGGGTTTCCCTGGTGCCAGGCGCCCAGAGCGGTGGACACAGAGCTCCAGACCTGTGCGGTCCGTCCTGGGGATGGCCTGGCCCTGCCGACCCTGGGACCCTCGAAACACCAGCCCACCAGTCCGGCATCTCGCCCCTCCTGACGCTGTGCTCCCAGGACCTGTGGCTGTAAGATCGGAGCCGAGCTGGGACGGCGCGAACAGAGCCGAAAAGTCCGGCGCTGGCGCACAGACACTGCCGCTTCTCCCGCTTCCAGACTTGTGGGTGTGTCCCCTGGCCCGAGGGGCGTCTCCAGCTAACGGCACCCTGGAGCCGCCAGCCAATCAGAGCTGCTTCCCGCCGGCACCGCCCCCCGCTTGGCGCTGGGGCCAATCGGAGCGCCCGCCCGCACGCCCACCCACCCGCCGTCCCCAGTCGCAGAGCTAGAGGCGGAGTGGCGCCCCCGGAGTCGTGCGGCGGCGGCGGCGGCAGTGCTGGCAACCATGGAGAAGATCCCGGCTCTGGGCCTGGGCACCTGGAAGGTGAGGTGGCCTCACGACCTGGGGGAGGGAGGGCCTTTCCCGTCCGCGGCGCTCCGGGACGCGGAGGGGACCCCCCCAGGGCTGCCTGCCTCGGCGCCACCACCCCTGTTTGAAGGGGGAGGTTCTCCGGCAATGCTGGCGGTGCCTGGGGCGTTTGGAAATAAAAGTTCGCGGGAGCCCCGAGGGGACGGTGGTGAGGCTGGGTCAGGGCCGGAGGGCTGGGGTCGGGACTGGTGGTCGTGGCTGGGAGCAGCAGGTGGTCGGGGCAGTGTCTGGGCCGGAGGGCTGGGGTCTGGCTGGGGTCGGGGCTGGTGGTCGTGGCTGGGAGCAGCCGGTGGTCGGGGCAGGGTCAGGGCCGGAGGGCTGGGGTCTGGCTGGAGTCGTGGCTGGTGGTCGGGCTGGTGGCGCCTCCCCAGAGGCTGGCGGGACTTGCCACCCGCAGGACAGACAAGGAGGTGCCCCCACCGCCAGTGGGGTTTCAGAGGGAAAGCGTGCAGCGCCCAGTGAGAACCAGGCGGGGCACTCGGGGACTTGCACTTTGGCCGCTGTGACTTCTATCCGTGATTTCAGTCAGGCGCTAACCAGGCCTTCCTTGTTTCTTTTGTTTCTGTACACTTTGTCTTCAATAAAGATGTTCATTTGAGAAGTCACTTAAGAAGCTACCAGATGAGTAGGCATTGGAATCATCAACCCCTTCTCATCAAAACCGTATTTAAATCGTTTGTTCTATGTACTTACCAACTCTTAAAGACCAAGGAAGCAACTCTACTCACTGTGGTTCTCAGCATGTGGCCCTGGATGTGCTTTTGGGAGCTGCTCAGGGGGCTCAGGGGGTTACATGCTCGCACTTTCTTGCCCGCCTCCAGTCCTGCTCTTATGCACTGTCTTCTGCTGGGGGTGGGAGTCCAGGCGTACTGCCTTGCACACGGCGAAGGGAAACCTGCAGAAGCCGTTTCAGAGGCCCAAAGTTTCCTTTTTGTGGCTGTTGGGCTTCAGGTGCATGGACCAGTCTTAGTGACCCCTTCTGGATCCACACAAAGTCTTGCTTGGATTTAGTTATTTCCAGCAGTGTACCGTCACAGATCAAGCATCAGCTGTCGGTTGCTCCGGAAGCGATGCACCCACAACCAATCACAGAAGCTCCATCGTTTACGGCAGCATGTGCATCATCACTGCTGCCTGTTGGGTGGTCAGCTGGGCTCTATGCATCCGGGCCGCTCGCTCAGTGTCTGGGGTTTGGCCGCTCTCACTTGGGACTGTTGGGCTGCTCGTGGCTCAACGCAAGTCTCGACCTCAAGCAGGAGAATCTGGGGTATTCTCGTGGTGATGGCCCAGGCACCAGAGAGCAAGGGGCATCCTGGAGCCTAGGCTTGGAGCTCACATCTCTGCCACAGAAAACACAGGGCAGCCCAGGTCCCAGAGGTGGGGACAGAGCCCATCCTGGGCCTGCGGAATCACATTAAATCTGTAGATCAGTCTGGGAGAACTGGCAACTTGATGATACGAAATCTGGCTTTCTACAAGCCCAGTGTATTTCTGTGTTAATGAATTGTCCTGGATTGAAGGCGTCTCTCTCTCTTCATCTGGTTGTATATACAGCTTGCCCTGTACAAAGCATACACTTCATTTGATGGAATCATTCCTGATCCTGGACCGTCCACGATACTATTGGAAATGAAACTTCTCTGAAATTATGTCTTCAGCTTGTTTGCTGTTGATGCATTGAAAAACAGTCATCTCCGAGTGCCTGGCTGGCCCAGTCGCTGGAGCATGCGACTTTTGATCTTGGGGTCGGGAGTTCAAGCCCTCTGTTGGGTGTGGAGCCTTCTTTAAAAAAAAGAAAAAAGCCTTCTTTGGTATATTCATCACATTTTCAGCCACTTTGCCAAATTGTCTTGTGAGTTCTTTTAATGTGCCTATGAGTTCGTTTGGGCTTTCTACATAAATGATCGTATCATCTGCAAATAATGATACTTTCATTTCTTTTTTTCTGATCCTTAAGTCCCAAATTGTTTTTTCTGAGTTGCTTCTGGATGGCTAGGACCGCCACTACAGTGACCATTCTTGTTCTGTTCCTGACTTTAAGGGACTGTTTCTGATACTTGGACATTTAGGATGATGTTTGCCCATTTGTTCTTTGGCTTGCTTTTGTTCTTGTTTTTTTTTTTTTTTAAATTATATTTATTGTTGTTTTAAATGTGTACATTCTTTACCAGGTTAAAGAGCTTCATTTTTTCCAAGTTGACTGAGAGTTTAAATCACAAATGGGTGTTGAATTTTATCCAACATTGACTGACATGATTTATTTTTTATTTTTTTATTATTATTTTTTAATTTTAGAGAGCACACATGCGGGGGAGGAAGACAGAGGGAGAGAGAGAGAGGATCCCAAGCAGGCTCCACGTTCGGTGCAGAACCCAACACAGGGCTCGATCCCACGACCTTGGGATCATGACCTTAGATGAGCTCCAGAGTTGAATGCTCTACCAACTGGAGCCACCCAAGCACCCCGATGTGATTTCTTTTTTAATCTGTTAATGTGGTGAATTATTATGGATTTTCTAATATCAAGCCACCCTTGGCTCTCTAAGATAAGCTCTGTGGGTGTGGTATGTTAGTTTTTCATATACATTGTCGCATCCATTCTGATGTCATTTTACTTAGGATTTTTGCAACCTTATTCATGGGTGAGATGAACGCAGGCCTTTCCTTTGAATATTTTTGTCTGCTTTTGACTCCAGGGTTATGCCGGTTTGGTAGAAGGGGTTGGGAGTATTCTCTCTTTTTCTCTTCTCTGAAAGATTTTGTGTTAAATTGGGACGATTACATCCTTGAAATTTTTGCAGAACTCTGTGTGTTTAATTGCTTCATTTTAGAAATAATTATAGGAGAAGTCAGCTTTTACTTCTTCTTGAGCAAGGTTTTCTAGGGATTTCCCTCATTCTTTTCATTTTTCCCATTTGTCGGCTGAGAGTTACTGGTAGCATTTCCTGAGATTTGGGGTCTCTGTTGTATCTGTGTGACCGGTTTTCGGGTTTCCAGTCTTGTGAGAAGATTGTCCACCTTATTAAGGTCTTTCAAAGAACTAACCTCCGGCTCTGCTGATCTTCTGTGTCCTATCTTTACTTGATGTGCGTCCTTGTCTCCGGATTCCCTTTCCTTCTGATTCCTGGGTGGATCGTTGTCTAACTTCAGGTGGACGCTCCCTTAGCTTCTGGCCCCCCAGAACGTGCTGCTCGTCAGAGGCGGACCATTCTTCTGGCCCGGCGCCTGGGGTTAGTGAGGCTCACGCGAGGGGGTGCCGTGTGGGCTGCAGAGCCCTTGGGGATGCTCGCGCCTTGTGTCCCGAGTCCTCCCCAGGCCTCTGCCCCCGCGTCCCGTCCCTTTGCTCGCTTGAGCCACCCAGCTCACCGCGAGCGTTTTCTGAACCTCACCTTCTTGAGGGAATCCGTAGTGCCCCTGGGGGCTTGGGGAGGTGCCCCACGTGTGCCGGGTTGTCTTCGTGTGAGCGGACACCCGCTTACCTTCACACTTGGCCCCCTGGTCTCCTCGGGTAGAGGGTGAGTCTACACCTTCTTGCGTCTCAGTGTCTATCCCGATTCACCCCGCGTTTATTTATTCCTTTGCTCGTTCGGGAAGCGCGGCATCTCGCTCGGTTCTTTGCAGGCCCTAAAATACCTGTAGGGTTTCCCCCAGGTAAGGAAAGGTGTTGGAACTTAGGTTGCATCTAAATCCTTTCTGCCCCTGACCTTCCCAAGTTTTAGCGCTTCCTCGCTCATGTGTCGTTTGACTCTACATTTTCCAGCGCTGAGATTGGGATGGCCTGATGTGGGCGGACCGCCTACGTCACGTTCGTTTTGCAGGCAGCTCCGGGCGAGGTGACGGAGGCAGTGAAAGTGGCGATAGACGCGGGGTTCCGGCACTTTGACTGCGCTTACTTGTACCACAACGAGAGTGAGGTCGGAGCCGGGATCCAGTGCAAGATCAAGGAGGGCGTGGTGACCCGGCAGGACCTGTTTGTCGTCAGTAAGGTAGGACTCGGCGTGCAGGGCGAGCAGGGTGCAGCCCGCGCGGGCTGGGTCAGCAGGGTAGCCGAGCGTGGGGAGGGTCTTCTGGTCCCACAGGAGCTGATGACCAGTGCGTTCAGGACACTCGTGAGGCTTCGTGCACGCACTGGATGCGGTGCAGGTGCAGGTGTCGGGGACAGCATGACAAGCAGAGGGGATGGCCTGGGCAGGGGCCCGAGGCACGGGACAGCACCGGGGGGACGGGGGCCTGGAAGGAGCTCGGTGTTCCTGGATCGGAAAACGTCAGTCAGGAGAAGTGCGGCTGCAGCAGGGACAGGCCAGGTGACGAAGTCACGCCTTTCAAGGGGCTTACTCTTCGCACACACCGCACAACGGCGCGGGTTCTCAGCAGGGAGCTCGGGTTCCGGACAAGCCAGACTTGTGTCAGAGCTGGGTGACTGCAGCAGCCGGAGGGAGCAGGTGTTGGAGTGGGAGGCAGGGTACACTCACAGCCCGGACTTGGACCGCGGGAGCCGGCTCAGGAGGGAGACAGGTGCTCAGGGCCCGGTAGGGGCAGGTCCAGACCGCGGGAGAGTTCCGGAACTCCCCTGCCTTGGACTTTGAAGCAGGTTGTTAGGACTCTGAGGCCAGGAGCCACGGGTTGTCATTCCCGCTGTCTCTCATGGCCCGGCCATCTGTCACGGCCCCACCTCCTGTCACAAACCCCGAGGGACCAGGAGAGTCCCTGGATGACACAGCTCCACCGTGTGTAAAACGGGGGTCCGGATTCGATCATCTCCTGAGGAGTTTCTGAGACTAATTTCCATAATTGCAGGACTCAGTGTGGTTTCTGTAGATTTGCCCTTCTGTTCCACTTCCGGATGATTTCTGTAAGTCATCAGTGCCTGTGGAGCGAGGGCAGAGGGCTGGTGAGGTCGAGGCGAGGCGAGGTGGGTGATGGGATGGCTCGGTCAGCCCCGTCACCCGGGGCCCGCTGCTCCTGGTGCCCTCTGAGTCCACAGGGGAAATGTGTTCACTCTTCCCGCAATTCGGAAAAGTCACAGAAATACAATTTTTTATACTCGCTGTTTCAAGAGTACCATCGTTAGTGATAATTTTTAGGGTTTTTTTTTTCTTCTCTTTTGTCTTCAATACACTATGGTGAGAGTCTGTTTTCATATCTTTTAATTCTCTTTCTCGTACTTATTTATTTTTGGTTTTTCTCTTGCTGTGACGGAGTCTTTGGATTAGCTTCCGTCACAGTTAGAACTAAATAGTGTAACAGGGGACGTAACGGGAGGGAGAAAATGGCAAATTTTCTACTTCACAGGGGGTGTGGCTGGAAATCTCTAAATCAGTACAAGGCAGTGGGTGTTAACTTCCCTAATTTAACCTGCATGATTAGGTGGCCCTGAGAACAGAGGCCCTTGAACGTGGAGGAGACGTAGGTGGGAAGCAACGTACAAGTTCTCCAGAGTTCTCCTCCTCTCTGCTTACAGCCGTTTGCTTTGGTCTGGTTCTGGTTGTTTCTTCTGGTCCTAGTGGATCCAAATAACCAGACTGCCCCCTCCCAAATGTTTCACAGTGGCCCTGTCTCCCTGTAGTGGGAGTCAGGCAGAAGGAGCCCGCTTTTGGAGACCCCTTCCCGAGAGAGTTCCGGAACCATCTGAGGGTGATGTCGCTGCCCCCGCCGTATTCGTTGCCGTCCGGTCCCGGATGCCGTCCGTCTTCCTGCTCCCGGACTCGGGGGACTGAGGGGCAGAAGTTGACGCTAGCTTCCTCCTCCCCCCTGCGCCCCCCATAGCTCTGGTGCACCAGACATGAGAAGTCCTTGGTGAAGGCGGCCTGCACCAAGAGTCTCAAGGCCTTGAAGCTGGATTACCTGGACCTCTACCTCATGCACTGGCCCATGGGCTTCAAGGTACCGTCCGGGAGGCGCAGAGCCCAGGGGCAGCACCTTCCCTCTGGTCAGGCCCGGCGGGGGGGGTGCGGGGAGCTCTCCCCAGGCCTCCTCAAGGACCCCACGGTCCCTCGTCCACCCCCGCCTCTGCCCCTCCCAGCCCGGGGAGGAAGACCTGCCCCTGGACCGCAACGGCATGGTGCTGCCCAGCGACACGGACTTCCTGGACACGTGGGAGGTGAGGCGCGTCCCGCCGGCCTCGGGCGAGGTGACGGCGGGTCGTGTGCATGCGTGGGGGGGGCGGGGTGCGGTTGTCCCCCGACACACTCGTGTGCGCTGTGAGCGGGAAACCAGCACCTGATCCCGGCCGCCCATCTGCCGCCCTAGTTCTGGCTGGTTCCTCTGCCAGGACGTCAGTTCCAGGGATGATCAAGCCGCAGGCTCCCCGTTTTTTAGTCTCAGTGTCAACTTTTTCTTTTTGTTTTTTTTTAATGTTTATTTATTTTTGAGAGAGAGAGAGAAAACACAAGCAGGGGAGGAACAGAGAGAGAGGGAGACACAGAACTCGAAGCAGGCTCCGGGCTGTGAGCTGTCAGCACAGGGCCCGATGCGGGGCTCGAACCCAGGAACTGTGAGATCGTGACCTGAGCCGAAGTCGGACGCTCGACCGACTGAGCCACCCAGGCACCCCGGTGTCCACTTCTTTGTTGATGAGAGAGTATCACTTGGTCGTTACAGAAATACAGAAGAGTATGAGAAAGAACATTTAAGAATCCCCCCGTCCATTACCTGGCTGTAGCTACCACTGCTGTCGTGTGGCTGCGGACCGCTGGGCCTCGAGCATCTCGGAACGAGGTCCGGCAGCCCAGCCAGGCCTGTGTGGGGCTGGAGGCCGAGTGGCAGGTTTCCAGGCAAAGAGGGGGAAGAGACCTGGAATAAATAGCGAGCAGCGGCATCGCGGGTGAGGGGTGCAGGTGTGGAAGGGGACAGTGTTCCCGTGGAGCCCCGCTGACCTGGTGCGTGTAATCTCGCAAACGGTGTGGGACGGAGGAGGGCCGGTGTGAGGCCTGGGAAGCAGTGAGCTCCCGCTGGAGCCTGCTGAGTCCAGGGAGATGGGCGAGAGAAGGCCTTCGAGCACCAGGCAGAGTCGGCAGGCGCACCAGTCAGGCCACCCTCTCCCTCCCCCCATTTCTCTTAAACTGGGCAATCGGCAAAACAGATTAGATGAGTGATCTGGGCTGTCAGGACCAGCGTCCAGGGGCCCCAGCGCTTTCTGTCCCACGGCATCGCCCCTCAGGAGAGCTGTGGCTTGGGGTCCGGGCCGCGTGCAGCCCGGGTGAGTCTCCGGGTGATGCTGGTGCCTCCAGGCAGTGGCTGGTGCACGCTGACTGGTCCCCGGCCCGTGGCCGCTCAGGACCCAGGACCTACTGTTGACGAGGTGCCCCACGCCAGCCCGACACCTCCTGAAGTTCACGGCCAGCAGGAGGATGATGCGTCACTGCGCTTAGGAAGCGTATACGCTAGGTAGAAAGAGCGGCGAGCGACGGGCATCCCTGCCGAACCCTGTGTCACACATGTTCAGAGGAAGGGGAGAAATAACAGCTGAAGTGTTGAGTGTTGGCCACATTCTAGCCCTGCGCTAAATGCTTTGTGTTACTTGATGGGATCCTTAAAACAACCCTGTAACATGAACAAGCTCGTCCCCACTTTGCAGATGAGGACACTGAGGCTCAGTGTGGTCACACAACGTGCCCAGGGTCCCTGGCCACTAGAGGCCCTGGGGGCAGAAATGCCTGTGGGGCATCGGGTGGGATATTTAGAAGCCCCGGTGGAGCCGGTTTAGCGACGTGTGCAGGGGAGGGAGGGGCGTGGGTGATGGTGGGGGGAGGGGGGAAGCAGAATGACTGTTTGTTGTCTTTAGGCGATGGAGGACCTGGTGGTCACGGGGCTGGTGAGAGCCATCGGGGTGTCAAACTTCAACCACCAGCAGCTCGAGAGGCTTTTGAATAAACCCAACCTGAGGTTCAAGCCAGTGACGAACCAGGTGAGGCTTTAACAGATGGAGTTGGCTTTTCAGCCGTCACGTTCCCCCTGGCTACTCTGGAAATGAAACAAGGGTCACAGAGTAGGCATTTTTCTCCCGTGGCTGCAAAAATGGTGACTTAGGGAGCAGTGAGGCAAGTAACGGGTGCCGAGGCCGGAGAGCTTCTGGAAAGGCTTGTTCGATTAGGTGGGGTCCTCGGGAGGTCGGCCACGGGCTGAGCTTGGTCCTCTCCGTGCAGAAGTGGTGACACTCCTGTCTCGCCCTCCTCCCTCCCTGACATCGCTGCTCGCCGCTTCCTGGGAAGGCACCTGGGCCCCTCCCCGTCCCTCCACCTGGGGGGCGGGCAGCCGAAAGACCCCAGGTTCACGGACTCTGCCAGGACTTTTGTGCAGAGAGCTGGCTCGTGAGGAGAGGGCTTCGCTTGCAGAAAGGGCCTTTTTGCAGTACATTCTTTTACCTAAACATTTGTTCAGGTGTCATGTACATTTAAAAAGTGCATCCATGACAGTAGAGCTCAGTAAATTGTCATAAACCGAGCCTCGCTCTGTGCCTACATCCAGATCGAGAAACAGCGCGTGACCAGCACCCGGAAGCCCCACCACGCTTCCTCCTGTTGACTGCCCCCGACAAAGGGCAGCCCGTGTGCCGATTACTAACAGCGGACACTGGCTCTTGAACTTTATGTAGATAAAGTGACCCATTACGTACTCTTTCCCATCTGGCTTTCTCCAACATCGCGTCTGTTGGATTCCCCCGTATTCCTGTACGGTCGTCCGTCATTCTGATTTCTGCGTGGGATTCCGCTGCGCGCACACGCCACTTGCATAGTTTCTGCTTGGGGATATTGAGAATAGAGCATCACGTTCCATTTTTTATAAACACGGTGTAGCGTGGATGCAGGAGAGGTCGGGCATCGCTCAGTGAGTTTCCACAGGGGAGCGTGCTGGTCGGCGCCTGGAGCCCAAAGCCCAACAGCGTCTGCCTTCTGGAAGCTCTCCTAGCCGCCTTCCTCAGAGCGGCACCTGTCCCGACGCAAGGCATGCCTTAGCTTCCCTGCTTTATTTATTTATTTATTTATTTATTTATTTATTTATTTAACGTTTTATTTATTTTTGAGACAGGGAGAGACAGAGCATGAACAGGGGAGGGTCAGAGAGAGGGAGACACAGAATCTGAAACAGGCTCCAGGCTCTGAGCTGTCAGCACAGAGCCCGACGCTGGGCTTGAACCCACAGATCGCGAGATCATGACCTGAGCTGAAGTCAGCTGCCCAACCAACTGAGCCACCCAGGTGCCCCTTAGCTTCCCTGCTTTAAACCCTGGCGTGCCTAGAATGTTCATGTGCATGATATACGCCGCCGTTCTGTCGGGGTTCCTGTTGAGCAGCACTTTAAGGGGGGGGCGGGAGAGCTGTTGCCTCCTCTGTGGAGTGGGAGGGGCCTGAGGGGCTGTTTCCTAATTGGGGTTCTGAGCCCCCAGCAACGTCCCCTCAGAAGAGTTTTCCTTGCTATTTCTGGTGGCTGTGCCCAGCACGTTCCTGACCCTCAAGGGCACCGTTTGCAGCTCTTAATTCACTCTAAAGGAGTATTTTCAGCCCACTGATGACCTGGAATTGTACGTGAGAATTTACAGAATGTGCAGGCAGAAATCCCGCTCTCAAGTTCCTCAAAATGTCCGCAGGAGTCCCCTGGAGCACGTGTGTCCCACATGACTCCCCAGCGTCCTCCATGCACCTGCGGAGCCTTGACAGAGGGTTCTCTGGCCGGCTTATTCTGGATGTTGGGGGCGTGTCTGGGAACAAAACAGAGTCAGCCCAGACCCCTGCCTCTGTGGAGCTCGCATCAAGCGGCGGGAGACAGACAACAGCCAATAAGTACGATGTGGAAGATGTCAGATGGTGACGCGGGCGAGACCGGAAAGTAAAGGGTCAGAGGGAGGGCCTCCCGGAGCAGGTGCCATCCGAGTGTCCAGCGACAGGGTGTTCCTCCTGCCCGTTCTCAGTGGCTTTCACTTTAGGTGTGGACGCTTGAGCCCCGAGGCGGTCCCGGAGCTCATCGGCGACAGCCGAGACATTAAGAGTGTGCCCTTCCCCCGTGTACGGTGACCTGAATTTTCTCGGTAAGCGGTGCTTCTCCTTTTAGGTCGAGTGCCACCCGTATCTTACCCAGAAGAATCTGATCAACTTTTGCCAATCCAGAGATGTGACCGTGACAGCCTACCGGCCTCTCGGCGGTTCCAGGTGGGGGTGTGTCCGTGGTGGGGGTGGGGGGGAGAGATGCCCCCTCCTGGTGGATTTGGATAGTTAGTGGAGGGCCTAACAAAGGCAGATGTGGGCTGGGGGAGGGGCCGGCGCCCGCGGCCAGAGGAGGGCAGCAGCCTGGTCTGAGCTCTTGACCAGCACGTTGGGCCCGCTGCTACACCTTCCGGTCGAGATGGGTCACAGATATCTCCGTCTGCACGCGTCCTCTTTCCCCAGCACCGGAACCGTGTGCTGTGCGCCCTGCGTCCGTTCACGAGCCCCACCTGCTCGGCACCCCCAGACCAGACACCTGGCCCATCCCCCAGAATCCACTCTGATTCTGCCAGAGACCCCGGGATCTGTCTGTTGATCTCTGTTCTCGCCATCATGGCCCGAGTTAAGTGGGAGTTCTCTCTGGTAATTAGAGCAGCTTGTCTGCTCCGATTTGCCCGGCTCCAATCCGTTGTCCGCGCGGGAGCCGAGGGAGCCGTCTCAGTCTGATCAGGTCACTCTCCTGCTTGAAAATCCTTCGGTTCTTGGCAGGGCCTAGGAGCCCCAGCCGGTCTGGCCTCGGCCTAATTGTGGCCTCGTGTCTTCCCACAAACAGTGTGTACCCACCACCTGAACCCACGCGGGGCTCCCGGAGTAGAGCGCCGTGTTTCTAGCCTGTGCCTTTGCATAGGTTGGTCTCTTTACCTAGAGATCTTGTTTATATATATTTTTTTAATGGTTTATTTTATATTTGAGAGAGAGACAGAGACAGCGAGCAGGGGAGGAGCAAAGAGAGATGGAGACAGAACTGGAAGCAGGCTCCAGGCTCTGAGCTGTCCGCACAGAGTCCGATGCGGGTCTCAAACTCACGAGCAGTGAGATCATGACCTGAGCCGAGGTCGGACGCTTAACCGACTGAGCCACCAGGCGTCCCTCTAGAGATCTTGTTACCATCTTGTGTTTTTAAAGTCTGGCTAACCCTGATTTCTAATGTCCAGTTCGAGTCAGCATCACCTCCTCCAGGAAGCCCTCCTGACTCCCCTTATCGAGGTTTTGTCCATAACCCTCGTTACACTGTCTTGCCATTATTTTCTTTTCAGTCTCCCATTTGTCAGAGCTGCGTGAGTACAGGGGCCGCGTGTAACTTGTGGCTCTCCAACAGCCCCTGGCTCAGGACCTGGACAGACTAGGGGCCCAGGAAGGGCTGAAAGCATTTGACTCTTATGACCTGTGTGTCTCCTGTGGGAAGTGGGGCACATGTGTTTGAACTTCGTAGCGGCTGGGGAGCTGCTGGAAGGCGGGGTCCTGTTCTGTGGCTGAACTCGGGGCACTGGAGCCACAGTGGGTGGCAGGGGCCAAAGCAATGGCTCTCCAGGGTGACCAGGGCCTGTCTCTGCTGGACAGCCCCTGAGGGATAGCGCCATGGCCACAGCCTTCCAGTTCTGTGCACCGAAGCTTCCCCTCGTGTTTTGGTATTTGAGTTGAACTGTTCTGAAATTACCATCTTGAATATCAACAATTATTTACCGGCAGCGCTAGAGGCCCCGCCCCAGGCCCCGCAGTAAGAGCTCAGAAGTCAGCCCTACCCGCCCAAGGCCTCTCCAAAGCGCGGAGAACGCGTTGCCTGCTACGCTCTCACGTTGCCCCCTGGCTCTCGAGAAAACACCAAATGTCCATGGAAAAGCAGCGTGCCCAGCTGTCCCCACCGAAATGTCTTCTCTAGATGGTGGGATGCGGGTGATGAGCTCCTGTACATCATTTGAATTTCCTACCCGGAGCAAGTATTGTGATCAGACAAAAATAAACCTAGGTCTTGGTTTTGAAGAGGTATTGTGTGTCTGAAAGCAGGAGGCACCCAGGCTTGTCCCCCCTGACCCCCTGCCCTGTCCTGCTCTCTCTAGTGAGGGGGTGGCCCTCCTGGATGACCCCGTGATTCAGAGGATCGCACAGAAGTACAACAGGTCTCCCGCCCAGGTAGGAGGGGCTGCCCGCAGGCTCGGGGGGGGGGTCTCCCCGCTTCCTCTCGGAGCCGGGGACTGGACGGAGGAAGGGTTTGCTCACTCTGGCCCCAAGCTTCCAGTTCACCAGCACAGGGGGCGCCTGCTCCCACCCACTAAGGCTGCGAGGCCCGTGGGCGAGACTCCAAATGTGGGGTCCCCGGCTGAGTGGAACAGAAAAGACTTCCTTGCTCTCATGTCCAGTGTTTGGGGGCTGGGCGTCTCCGTGAACTGTCATTAAGGCGTTGGCAGGTCCTCTGAGCTTTTCCATGGACCAGTCGTGGCCATTACACACATTGGAGGAACTGTGCAGAAAATGCCAGTTGGGGTTCTGAGGGACTTTGGGACAGAAGAACCTGTAATAAAAGTTCCGGCTGTCCAACTTTGGGACTTTGCACAGTAAAGTGTGAATCTGTGATTCCCCTTGTCTGATACGAGACCTTTTTTCTGCAGATTGTGATCCGATTTCAGATCCAGAGGAATGTGATCGTGATCCCCAAATCTGTCACCCCAACACGGATCCGTGAGAATATCCAGGAAAGGGTTCTTTTCTTCTTTTATTCGGAGGGTTTGGGATCATACGGTAGTCAGCTGGGGGTCTGACCACCGCGCAAGCAGGCCCTGTGTGGCTTTGACGCAGCAGAGGGGCCGGGTGGAGCTGCGGCCACAGCACGAGGAACCCCAGAGTGTGACAGGCACGAACCCAGCCCGGGAGCCGGCGAACAGGAGGTCCCGAACAGCCGGGGTGCCGGCCAGAGGCTCGCAGGGCTGTGCCCCCGAGCCGGGTGCCTGCTCCCCAAGTCTCAGGACCGCTGCGCCCGGCTGCCCAGACCCGGATTCGTGGGGCCCTTCCAGAACCGAAGGCCGCCCTCCAGTCGGAGCCTCTGCTGACACCGAGCCCTTGGTTTCTGCTAGACCGGGTGGAGGGTCTCCTGTGGGTAGAGGCCGGGCCCGGCCGGTCCCCTCCTGGGAGTCGCTGCACCCTCCCTCCCGGCTCCTCAGCTGGGGACCGGGGCTGGCTCTCCTGTGAGAACAGATCGTGTTTCAGGAGTGGGGGTCATAGTCCTCACAGGTATTAGGAGCAAAGGGGTGCAGCTTAGAATTCTGCTTTATGAGGAAAGAAACAAGAATTACCCTGTGTTATGGCTACTGTCAGAGCCAGTGGTCCCGGGGACCCAGTGTCCCAGCTGGGAGGCCCTGGGGCACGAATGTTTCTGGTTTTTCACTTTCATTTGGTTTTGGAGGGGTTTTTTGGTGTTTTTCATTTTTTGGGGGGGTTCTTTTTTTGTGTTTTTTGTTTTGTTTTGTTTTGTTTTTGAGCGACGGGAAAAATTCTTTGCTCACCTCCCACCTCTTGATTCCAGCTCGTCCCTTATTCCCCTCGGGGTGGGGGGGACTGCAGTACACGTCCTGTCTTTGCAGGGGCTCTCACCCAGCCCTGGGCAGCCAGCGTCAGGCACAGGGTCACAGCCGCGGTTCACGGAGGAAGGCTGATGATCCGGGGAAGTTGCAGGTGCCGCGTGCAGTGTTTCTTCCGCATCTTGTGTCCCCGGCAGGTCTGGCGCAGCGCTTTGCGGGCGACGTGTGCTCAACGAGATGGTCACTGGACTGACTTCACCGTGAACGTTTTGTTTTGGGTGCAGGTGTTTGACTTTGAATTATCAGAAAGGGACATGAACGACATCCTCGACCTGGACAGGAATTTCCGAATGTGCACCTTGCCCACGTAAATACGTCTCCTTTACCTCCATTCCAGGGGGAGGGAACAGTATTCGGGTTGAGGCGATTCCGAATAGGTGTTGATCGTATGCATTTTAGGTTAATTAAACCTTCTCATAAGGCTTTCCCCTCGGAGGATGGGCCTCTGAATGAGTCCCAAGACTAACTGAATACATCGGGAGCTTGAAAACACACAGCTGTGTCTTTTAGAAGGTTTCTCTTAAACGTAATAAACATTTCATTTTGATTTGTTTTCCTGTTTTTCAGAGCTAAAAACCACAAGGACTATCCTTTCAACATAGAATACTGAGCACGGCCTCCCTCTTCCCCCCCTGCCCGGCCCAACGGGTCCATGAGGCCCGAGCCGAGGCAGGGCTCTGCCAGGGAGGTGGGGGCGACCGGCTTTGACTTGGACGGATTCCTGCCTGGAACAGAGCTGTGCTCCCTGAGAGGTCCACACAGTTCCGGTGGTGGGTGATGGGAAGGGAGCCGCCCTGGGAGCGGTGCTCGTTCTCTGTGGAGAACCCCCCAGTCCTACGGCTCCTTTGAGCACAGTGTGACAGGATTTTGACCAGACAGGCTGTGTGGCGGGCCTCTACCCTCGGAAAAAAGGTTGTATTATGGAAATATTTAAATACAGGATTTGAGACCGTAGCACGAGTCTCTACATGTGTCACCCAGCCCCGCTTGAGACCCTGGGCCGGCCTCCCGCCATCTGTGTGGCTCTGTTCCCTCAATCCCCCCAGATGGTTTTAAAGCAAAATCTTTATGTTCGCATGTGCAGAGACAAGCTGGGTGAAGGCGGGAGAGGGTCTCAGTTCAACACAGAGGCTTTTCTTACTTAAATACGGCTGTGGGAACCCCAAGCAGAGAGGACACGTCGGTCATTGCCCTCCTGCGCTCAGCGTCCGGGGTCCATCCTGTGGGCTCGCTCAGGGCTGTGTGTGACTCGTGTCCTCTCTGCTCACCGGATGGCACTCAAGCACCATGCTTTGGGCCATTGTCTTAAAAATCTGCTACAAGTTATTATGTTCCACGAAAAAGGTTCATTTTCATGAATGAATGGCAGGATGTTTCCCTGTTTATGTTAAACGTAAGAAAAGTTCACCATATAGGCTAATAGTGCTTTCTGCTAATATTTACCGAATTTTGCTATTTAATGAAGTAATTCTACTGGATTCAGAATGTAAAGAAAACTGAGAAAAGCTCAATTATAACAAGTAAAAATGGCCTAAACTAGCAATATCTAAGAAGAATCCTCTTTCTAGTGGGTCCTTCTAATCTATGCCCATGTCTATGACCCATGTAGATAAACAAATTACATAAAATACGTGATCCATACACATATATAACACATGTGCACGAACACTTCGCAAAACCTGTCCCACAGCACACATGGTCTGTGATTTGCTTTTTAAAAGGCATATGCATTATATACTGGATGTACAGTCATGTACCTGTTCACTTAACATTTTGATAAGACAGCAAGTAAATAAAGATTTAACTCGTAAGCTTTAAAGCTACCGGACTTGAACTGATGATCCGATCTTCCTCCCTCGGCTGCTGATTTCCACATCTTACAGAGTCCTTAGTGTAATTCAAGCCTGGTGGAGACACTTCTGTTTTCTACAGAAACAAGGAATACAGATTTTTATATCGTGTTTTACGAGAGCCACTTGAAATAGCAAGAGCACCAGCAAGTGTGGCAAAGATGAGGGACACCTGGTCCTAAATCACTGGGTCAAGGACGTGGTCACGCAATGAGAACTCCTTCAGCTGCAAACCAGCTCCGGTGGCTGGAAGGCTCCGTTGAGTCTTCGAGAAACATCAGGAAAGCACCGGGGCGGTCCCTACGGATAAATGTAGGCGAGTAGGCCGGGACCCCAGGAGGGGCCTTAGGCCGCACCCCAGGCCTGACCCTAGGGGGGACCCCAGGCCGCATCCAGACCTGTCCTGCCTTGGAGGAGGGTCTGGCGGCCCGGCTCCGCGCTGTGCGCCGGGTCGACCGCCAGGGGCGCCATTGACCCACTCGGCGGTGCGTTCGCGGCTCCGGCAGCAGAGGGCGCCGCTGCCGCGCCTGTGGACTTGAGGCTCTCTTCGGGGGTCGCGGGAGAGGCCGCCAACCCCGGCCCGGGACGTCCACGCCCACTCAGCCTCGGCCCGTGGCGCTGCGGAGAGCGCGCACGGCGCGGGGACGCAGGGCCGGCTCTGCGGGTCGGCAGGTGCGCCGGCGCCGGGGCCTCGGGCC